CGCTTCGCTGGGCCCCCCAGTTCGCACGTTCCCAGCGATGGCGGGGTCCCGATCTGATTCGCGCAAGGTGCAATCCCGTTGGATCCCCCGGCAACCCTCAAGGTGGCGAGAGCTTGGCATTTCGCACCCACCCCAGCGACGCCGACGTCCCGCTTTGACTTGCGTCAGACATCCGTGTGATGGCCCCCCAGCAGCCGTCGACAGCGGCTACAGTTTCACAGTTCGCACCCCGCCAGCGACGACGAGGTCCCGCTCTGATCTGCGTAAGGCGCCATTCCGTTGGACCCCCCAGCAGCTTTCGACAGCGGTGACAGTTTCATAGATCGCAGCCCCCAAGGATGGCGAGGTCGGAGGGAAGTACGAGAGAGAGGTGCCAGACACGAGGAAAGATAGAGAGAGAGAGAGAGAAATAACGCGATAGAGAGAGAGAGGGAGAGAGGAATGAGGGAGTCAGGAAGGAAGGACGCGACCACAGCACTCGACTCAAAACGAGAACCCAACGGAGGGTTAGGAAAACATCGCTGTTCAACTCACAAAGTTCGCCTGTTTTTTTTGCACTTCCGCGTCAGCGCAGATCCTCACTTACGATCACCCTCATCAGCGCCACCGCATCACCTCTGTTATCGTCATCGTCGACCGCCATTCAGTGCCGCCATCATCAGTCAACCACCCTCGTCACAGACACGTGAAAATCGTCGTCATCGTCGTCGCCAACATCGGTGCCGACATTCGCCTTGCTTGCGTCTTCTTCACCTTCGCCATCACCATCGCTCTCATCATCATAGTTGCCACCATTGCCGGCGTCATCATGATACCGCGACCGCCCGAATCACCGACCCGCGTTGACGTGTCCGCGCGCCACCGCGGCCTTTGAGACGCGTTGGGAAGTTGCCACCTGTACGCGCCATCGTGGCCGCGTCGGTTGTGCCAAACTACTTGGCCGCGCGAAAGCTTGCGCACGATAGCGCAGCCGCAGCGATGTGCCAGTCCATGCTGCTGAACAGTCACCGCAATCGTGGCCACATGAATTGTGCAAGACAAGTTGCGGATATGGGATGATGGCGCGAGTAACGGAGATGACATCGCAGCGTTTGGGGTGCACTGGAAGAGGTACGGAGGACGGATCGTTGATCCCGAGCTGCATGCCGCAATACCACCCCCACGCCATCGCAAAAACCTGCGTGGATGGATGCGACTGGAGACGCCGCTCGGCGCATTAACTAAAATATGCCTGCTGCGGCGAGTCCGCCACCGCGCCAGCGAAACCATCCATTTGGCGATGTTTCAAAAACCGGTCAAGAGTCCCTCACATGTAACACGTTTCGGTTCCAATCTTGGTCGAGATCTCATGGAGGCAGCGGGGGCGGATTGGATGTCATCAGTATTTTCGAGGGTGAGAGCTCTTGGGGACCATCTCGCAGCACTCTAGAGTCGTCTGGGAACGTTATGAGGGAGACACGCAACATCATTCACAAGGTATCATCAATCACGCAACCCGAAGGGTGGTCGTGTAGGTATACATATATATATATATATATATATATGTATGTGTATATATATATATATATATAGATATATATCCGTAAGGGCTTCGCCCCCTGCCGCCGGCCCCCTCTCTCGGAGAATGGGCCATGGAAGAGCTAAGTCATGAAGCCTTGGCGCTGTCGTGAAGCAGTATCGAAACTTCATGCGAAGCCGATTCGCAATCAGCAAAGCCAACTGATCACAAGAGGGGTTACCACACCTGGCGATTGGTAAGACGTGTATGGTTTACGGGCTTGGTTACCACACCTTGCGATTAAAGGGCCGAGGGAGTTCTCGCAGTTTGGGTTACCACGCCTTGCGATGGATGTGCGTGAAGGGTGGCACCGAATTTCAGAAATGTGGCAAATCCCCTGTGTTTTTGGACCCTGACCCCGCGGATCTGCGTGAGGGGTGGCACCGAATTTCAGAAATGTGGCAAATCCCCTGTGTTTTTGGACCCTGACCCCGCGGATCTGCGTGAGGGGTGGCACCGAATTTCAGAAATGTGGCAAATCCCCTGTGTTTTTGGACCCTGACCCCGCGGATCTGCGTGAGGGGTGGCACCGAATTTCAGAAATGTGGCAAATTCCCTGTGTTTTTGGACCCTGACCCCGCGGATCTGCGTGAGGGGTGGCACCGAATTTCAGAAATGTGGCAAATCCCTGTGTTTTTGGACCCTGACCCCGCGGATCTGCGTGAGGGGTGTCGATTTCGAGCCCCCCCAGCAATTCAGACAACGCGCCCAGGAGACGCTAAAAATCTGGTTTGGGCCTCCCCCCCCTCGCGCGGTCAATCAACTAGTTACAGTAACCAGCAAGAAGCAGAACGGTAACACTGGAAACTACAAGCTACAACTGGTACAGGAAACTGCGAACCTCGCGCCTACAGCCTGGTGGCCCCACAAGGGGGCCGGCGGAGTATATATATATATATATATATATATATATATATATATATATCTCTTCTTATACTTTTATAAGCCCGGGCGGGGGGAAAACCCGTCACCCCCCCCCCGAAACCGGATTCCCGAGATCTGGGGCTTTGGGACCTTCCGAACGGGCCTCGAAGCGGCCCCCCGGGCCTCGCAGGGCGTTTTGCCAAGCCTTCGCAGCACACCTGGGGCGATCAGGGCGGTCGTCAGAGACGTCCCAGAGACCCCCAAGACAACACAAGAGCGCTCCAAGAAGCCGTCATACCCCCAAAGATCGCTCCAAAACGTTCCAAGAGGCCTCCAAGAGCACCCCCAAGAAGGCCCCAAGAGGGAACAATCATTGATTTTACGTAGGTTTTTGGTGAATGTGGGGTTCTCCTCTTTTCGGCTTCCCGACGCTCCAAGACGGTGGTCTTCTGGGCGTCCGAAGCCACCTGGGAGGCTCCCAAATCGCCCCACAACCATCCAAAAGGGCTTCCAGGCAGTCCAAGAGAGCCCCAAAACGGCACAACACGGGTCCAAGATGGCCCTCAGAGAGCCCCATGGTGGCCCGAGGAAGCCTCCAGAGGTTCCAGAATACGCCCAGGAGGCCTCCAGAAGGCCTTAAGAAAGCCTGAGACCATTTGTTTTAGGCCCCCAGAGGCTCTCCCAGGAGGAGCCTCCGCAAAAAAAAGCTGAGGAGGATAGGGACCCTGGGCGTATTCTGGGGGCCTCTGGGGGCTTCCTCGGGCCACCCTGCCTCCAACCACGGTCTCCCTGAACACCCCAGCACGATTTGGAATGCTTCGGAGGGTGTCTTGCTTTTATTCCGCCTGCGCTTCGCGTCATGCACCTTGGTCCTTGAAGTTTGGCATGCAGGCGGAATAGCAGGAAGGTCAAGCCGACAATTTGGCGATAACTCCTTGTTGCCTTTTTCCGGCATCGCCGCTATGATAATGTGATTCTTTATCCTCCTCCATGCTTCTTTCTCCTCATGTTCGCCATACCCTGCGCATTCTCCCCATCCTTCTCAGCTCTTTTTTCTGGAGGCTCCTCCTTGGAGAGCCTCTGGGGGCCTCACAAAAGTTGTTTCAGGCTTTCTTAAGGCCTTCTGGAGGCCTCCTGCGCGTATTCTGGGGGATTCTGGGGGCTTTCTCGGGCCACCTTGCCTCCAACCGCGGTCTCCCTGAACGACTGGGTCACAATTTGGAATGCTTCGGAGGGTGTCTTGGGGTCATCTTGGGCCGCCATGGGGCTCTCTGAGGGCCATCTTGGACCCGTGTTGTACAGCGAGCTGCTTGAATAAGGAACATTCACTTTTCAAAAGGGGCTCGGTCGTTCCTTGGGTTTGCATGCGTTCCGCTACCTTTTTGGCGGCGAGTCCCCTTGGTGTTCCTTCAGATGTTGGACGCGCGGGTTCATTTTGCCGATGAGGGTCTCGGCCGTTCCTTCGGACATCGTAGACCAACTTGGAAAAAAATGCTTCGTTCCTTATTTATCGTTCCTTAGGTCAGGCCGATGACTGTACCGTGTTGGGGCTCTCTTGGGCTGCCTGGAAGCCTCTCGGATGGTGATGGGGCGATTTTGGAGGTTCCCAGGCGGCTTCGGACGCCCAGAAGACCGCCGTCTTGGAGCGTAAGGAAGCCGCAAAGAGGAGAACCCCAGAATTCACCAAAAACGAACAGAAAATCAATGAGTTTTGGCTCTCGGGGCCTTCTTGGGAGTGCTCTTGGAGGCCTCTTTGGGGCCGTCCTGGAGGCCTAATGGGCCATCTTGAGGTCACGTCGGTCACTCTTGGAGCGCTCTTGTGCTGTCTTGGGGGTCTCTGGGACGTCTTCCATGACCCCCCCTGATCGCCCTAGGTGTGCTGGGAAGGCTTGGCAAAACGCCCTGCGAGGCCCGGGGGACCGCTTCGAGGCCCGTTCGGAGGGTCCCAAAGCCCCAGGTCCCGGGAGTCTGGTTTTGGGGGAGGGAGGGGTTCCCCCTGCCCGGGCTTAAAATGATAATAATAATAATAATAATAACAATAATAATAATATAGGAAGACGAATATCGATTTGGCTGTGCAATCTAACTATGTTGTGAACTAGTTGTGGTGGTGTCTATGTTGTGAACAACCGGAAAGCGCGCCGCAGGCGCGGATTTCTTCTCGTGCAATCTATGTGATGCTATCCAACGGCGGCAACGGGCGGCGACGGCGGTCACGTAGCCGCCAGACCAAAGACACGACCCAGACGACGGACGGCGCCGATTCGGCGACGGGGCGGCGACGGCGAGTAGATACCCGCCAGACCGTCAAACCGGCCCAGTTGCTGTGCAAGCACTGTTTCGGGAACCGTGAGACGTTGGATTTGCAAGTGGTTTTGCGGGGATGTCGGCAAATTCGTTCCCGTTTGGCAATCGTTCGCGTTGCTATCGGCATATGCCTTCAGGCCAAGTTTGTTGTTCTTGGCGCTTTCGTTGGCGGGCCCTATTGAGCCAGATGGGGTATATCGGCGGGATGCACTTCCTCTGCTTGCTTCATCGGGGCTCATGGAATCCATGACGTTGTTCCCTGCCGCCCAAGGTTCACCTCAAGCTTTGCATCGGCGGTTCGGGCCTCAATGCGACGGGCTTCAAGGAGTAGATCGTGCAGCACTTGCCACTCGAGAGCTAGAAGGCGGGCAGACGCCACGGTCGCGTGATTGCTCGCTTGCGCTCTTCCGCAGCGCATCAGCAATGTGGCGTGTGCAGGGCGCGCGCGGAGAGCGTGCGCGACCGAGCTGGCGCACACCGGGCGTGCCAGTGTGAGTGTGTAGCAGATTTGTCAGAGTCGACGTGTGAGTGTATGATGGGTGACCAGCAAGCAGTTGAGCAGGCTGCAGACACCGTGAGTTCGCACACAGAGTACGTGGGGTGCGTATTGTCCTACAGAAGGGAATGGGTTGCCTCGTTGTACTTGTGCATCTCATTTCGGGGTGCGATCCCGCCTCGGGCCAACGCCCTCCTTGCAGCTTTCTGGCTGGCCATGGCAACGCACAAACTGCCCCCCAACAACAAACTTATAATTTCGACGACCAGCTCTTCATCTCGGCGGCGAGCGAGGGGGGAAGTGAGAAGGAGAAGAAGGCCCTCTCACGGGGCGGCAGGGCTTCTCAGAAGCCCTCGCACCTTCTGATAAATTTGTCGTGCCTTCGGGGGAGGCTTAGAACACTTCCCAGAAGGGCTCGCGCGCTCCTGGATGGGATGCCGATTGCAGAGGTCCTGGACGGGACGTCGGAGGCGTCGGTCGGCACGCCGGCCGTCGGGGACCCTGCTCCCACCGCACACCGCCGTGGCGGAAGCATCGCTGAGTTCTTCCGCTGCTCGGCGGCGAAGACTGCACTCTGCCCCCGCCCATCAAAACGACTCAGGCAGCTCGATGGGCGGAGGGGGGGCTCGGAAGTGGTCGCAACACGTGGCGGAAATCCGAACCCTGCCCCCGCCTCCCATCGATTCAGGAGAATTGATGGTTGGTGAGAGCAGAGTAATGAAGGTTCGCATGTCGCAACCTCGCCGATATATCGCCAATGCATCTCCGATGCATCGCCGATGCATTGCAGATGCATCGCTGATACACCGGCGATGCGGTGCAATCCTCCGAATCCTTTCTATTCGGACCCCATCTAGGAGTCCTCTACTTACCGATCCACCCGTTCCTTCTGGGACCGAGGCCCTCGGCGCAGGACCATCCCTCGACTCTTGAGCCCCCCTTCCAGCACCCCATCCTCTGTTTCGGCGCGAGGCTTCAGGGAGGGCCCTCCTGGTGGTCCCCCCCCCCCCCCCCTCGCGGAGGGCATCCCCCACCCCCAGCTCGGGGAGGCATCGTGGACCAGGAATCCACAAAAATGGCCGAAGTTGGCTCGAAGCTGGTCCAAGACAGCCCACGAGGCCCCCAAGACGGCCCCCAGGAAGACCAGAAGAGGCCAGAAGAGGCCAAAAACCTTGATGCCTCTATAGTTTTTTTTACGGATTTCGCCTGCTCTGCCCCGCAGCGTTTGTTTTCGCGGCCCGAGCCACGCGGACTCGGCGCCCCCCCCCCCCCGGCCGGCACGGACGCGCTGCGCTTTTTCCCGCCCGCGGGCGGCCCGCGCCGCTGCCCTCGCCACCGCGCCGCGCCACCGCGGCGGCCCGCAGCCCGCCGAGGCGCCGCGCCTCGAGGCGCAGGAGGGGGAGGAGCCGTGCCGCTGCCGCTGCCCGCAATCCTTCGTTTTTTTTGTTTGCAATCCTTCGTTTTTTTTTGCAATCCGAGGTGTTTTTTTGCAATCCTTCGTTTTTGCAATCCGAGGTTTTTGTTTTGCAATCCTTCGTTTTTTGTTTTTGCAATCCTTCGTTTTTTTTGCCGCCAGGTCTCAGGGCTCAGGGCTGCTCGCGTGGGTGTCTTCGGAGGCCCTCGTCGCCCGGGCGGCCCGGCTCGCCTCGGAGCTCTGGCGGGGAGCGGAGGCGAGGCAGCGGTACCCCTGAGGTCCGTCGGCGCGAAACAGCGGCAGCGTCGCGAAAAAGCGCGATGGAGACGCCAGACCCTGCCTCTCTGCACTATCTTCTGGGCCGGATCGATCGGCCAGAGCCCCGCGGCCCGAATCTGTGCGAAAACGCCCGGCTCGGAACACTTGCGACGCCGGGATCTCAGGGCTTTATCGGCGGCGGCGAGCGGGGGGGGGGGGGGAAGTGGAAAGGAGAAGGCCTTCTCACGAGGCGGCAGGGCTTCTCAGAAGCTCTCGCACCTTCTGATAAGTTGCACTTGCCTTCGGGTGAGGCTTAGAACACTTCCCAGAAGGCCTGAGGACTTCCGAGCCTTCTGAGAAGGCCCGCCCCCTCTCACTTCACCCCCCGGGCGCGCCGCCGATCATCATTCTCACACCCTTCTTCGGGACCTGGGACCTCAGAAAACATCGACCCACTGGGAACTGGGGCGAAGCTGCAGTCCCCCGGAAGGGCTCGCGCGCTCCTGGATGGGATGCCGATTGCGGAGGTCCTGGACGGTCGGAGGCGTCGGTCGGCACGCCGGCCGTCGGGGACCTTGCTCCCACCGCACACCGCCGTGGCGGAAGCATCGCTGAGTTCTTCCGCTGCTCGGCGGCGACGACCGCACTCTGCCCCCGCCCATCAAAACGACTCAGGCAGCTCGATGGGCGGAGGGGGGGCTCGGAAGTGGTCGCAACACGTGGCGGAAATCCGAACCCTGCCCCCGCCTCCCATCGATTCAGGAGAATTGATGGTTGGTGAGAGCAGAGTAACGAAGGTTCGCATGTCGCAACCTCGCCGATATATCGCCGATGCATCTCCGATGCATCGCCGATCTTGGTTTCCCCGAAAGGCGCCGCGCCTCGAGATGTGCACGGCGCCGCCCCGCGCCGCCGCAGCGCCCGACGGCGCCTCGCCGCGCCAGCGCACCGCGGCGGCGGGGCGCGCGGGCGGCGCGCTGCCGCCGCGCCGCGCCGGCGCGCCGCGCGCCGCGCCGCGGCGGGCGGCGGGCCGCCCCGGCGTGCGGCCGGCGAGCGCGGAGGCGCGGCGGGCGTTCGTCGGGGGCCCCCAAACGGTGCGGTGACCACACCGTGCGGTGAGTCGATGGGGATTCGGGGTCACCGCACGGTTTTGGGACTCGGGTCGTCCTCCGAGGGCGTCTCGGGGGACAGGGGCCTCCGAGGTCCCAAGACCGTGCGGTGACGGACCGTGCGGTGAGGTCTTGGGGGATTTCGAGGTCACCGCACGGTCTGTCACCGCACCGTTTCGGGACTCCCAAGTTCGGCCGCCCAGACATCCTGGCGTCTCGAAGAAGTCGAGGCGGCGGCTTTTCTCGGGGGTGGACAGAACCCCCAACAGTGACACGTCGATTGGTGAACTGTCCGTTGTCGGTTCTCGAGAGGGCGCCCTGGCCGTTCTTTTCCAGGCTTGCGCCCGCCAGGTTTGGGCCTCAGGTCGTTTTCACTAAACCACGTTTTACTAAAGGGGGGTCTGTCCATCCCCGATTTTCGTCGTTTTGGGGCCTCCCGCGGCCCTTGCTGGGCTTCGGGGCCGTCCAAAAAGCGGCTCGGGGCGAAGAGCCGGTCCCGGGGAGGTGGTCGAGAGGTCGAGGGCCCGTGTCTCAAAGAATTCGAGACGCTGGATGTCTGGGAGGTGGGTGATGACCAGGCCAAGCAGTGGGAGGTGGGTGATGACCTGCCTATACGGAGGCCTCTCAAATAATGTCATAAGAGCATGTGGCTTGCACGGAGGGCTCTTAGAGCACTGTTGGCGGATATTGTCTTGTTGTGAAACATTTGGTTCATGTGGTAAGAGCATTGTTTTCGTTATTCGAATATTTTTCCTGAGAACCTTTCGTGGTAGGCCTATACAGGATTGCTGAGCTGTGGAGCTCGGGAGGGCGGCCGATGAGCTGCAGAGAGAAGGGTGAGGTCGTCGCGGATGAGTCCGACCTTCTCCTCTCCGCCGACCTCGTTTTTCCTTCTTTTTTTCTTCTGCGTGCGAATGCGGTCGCACCCTCCACGGTCGGGCGCCTCCCCGTTCGCGCACGTGCCTCGGGCCATGATCTGCGATAGCCCCCCTCTCGGATGCCTCCCCCCCCGTGGACGCCCCCGAGGAGCGGCCCGCGGCCGCCGCGCCGGCGCGGCGCACGACGGTGATCGTGAGCAACCTGCCCGCCGCGGTGGCGAGCCAGGACTCGTCGTGGGCGAAACAGTCGCCCAGCTCCCTTTTGAGAAGCTCCACCCCCTCCCCCTACCCCCCCCCTTGGACGCCCCCTCCCCCCTCGGACGCTCCCCCCCCCCTCGGACGCCCCGGAAACACACGCCGCCCCCCGCCGCGGGCCGCTCGCGCCCCCCGAGCGACGGGCGGCAGGGGGAGGGGGGGCGGCTCCTCAGAAGCACCCCTGCTTCTCAGAATGGAGCGGGCCTCGATTGTAGGCGTGAGGCCGGTGTCTTCTAAGAAGCAGCCTCCTCCTGAGAAGCTGTTTCCCCCCTCCCTCCACCCCCTTGTGCGCTCCGCTCCCAGAAAAATCGTATCCGCGGGCTCGCGGCCCCGCGGATCCGGGCCGTCATTTTTGCGGATGCCCCGCGCAGAGCGCAGCCGTATCTCTAAGAAGAAGAAGAAGAAGAAAAAAAAAAAGAAGAAGAAGAATAATCAAAGCGGCATAAACATGAATGTTGGGCGCTACACGCGGATTTCTCGGATCGGTGCTGGTCGCCTATGGCGGCGCCTACGGCACCGCCCCTGGCGCGCACCGCACAGCAGGGAGGGGGATACAGCGCCGATCCAAGAAATCCGCGCGGAGTTCGGATAGTTTCTGTTCATGCAGTGTTTTGTTCCTCTATGATCGTGGGCAACTTTTCCGCCGCGGTGGCGGGCCAGGGCTCGGGGGAGGAAAATGTGGCGATGCCGCTTGCCTTCCGCTGTCGCCACGGCTGGATTGGCTTCGAAACGTGGCCCGAGCGCAGCCGAGGAGAGGCTAGTGGACCAGCGGCATCGACATCCCTTTGCTTTCCCTTAAGGACGGCGCGCGCGGGTGGCTCGACGAGCAGGGCTTCGAGGGTACATACGACTTCCTCTTCTTCCTGCCGGGGAAGGGCCGCCGTGGGCGGGGGGGACAGGGCGCGGATGCCCAGGCGCGGGGCCACTTCATCGTGAACTTCCGGGCCACCTCCTTCGCACGGCGGTGCGCCCGCAGCCTGCACGGGAGGCCTGCCGGAGGGGCGGCGCTGAAGGTGGCGACGGCCAAGAAGCAGGGCCGTGATGCGCTAGTGGAGCACTTTGCCGACGTCTTCGAGAGTTCGACTGTGCACGCGCCGTGGGTCTTCACCGACGCCACGGGTTGGCGCAGCGCATAGTCCATATTGCTTTTGCGCCGGATAGGGGGTCCGTTGGGAGGAGGATGAGGAGGAAGAGTGGAGATGGGGAGGAGGAAGAGTTTGTGGCTGGGGAGGAAGGTGGCCAGAGAAGGCCACGTATGACGGTGATGAAGGTGTGGGTCACAGACGTACATGTCGGTGCTCCCGACACGGAAACTTTCAGCGCTGGTTGCCTGTGAGCTTTTCTAGACGCTTCGCGTAACTAACCCCACCAGCCCATCCAGAAAAGATGCACAGACGAGTTGCCTTGATCAGGGATGTGGAGGAGCATGCAGTGGAATTAAGGGCTGGGTAAGACGTCATACCCCAACAGGGGGAGGATGCAGGAGGAATCGGAGGAGGAGGAGGAGGAACAGGAGGAGGATGAAGAGTAGAGACTGGGGGAGGGGGAGGAGGGAGGAGGAATAGGCGGATGAGGAAGAGTATGAGGAGGACGAACAAAAAAGGCCAGAGGCCCTTGGATGCCTCTCGGAGTCTCTTCGGATGTCTTTCGAGAGCTTCTTGGAGTCCTCTTGGGGCGTCTTGGGTCTCTTGGCAGTCACGGGGGCCTCTTGGGGCGTCTTGGGTGCCTCTGGGGGGCCTCTGCGGGCCTCTTTGGAGGTCTCTTGGGAGCTTCTTGGGGGTACCTCTTGGGGCCGTCTTGGGGCACCCTTCTGAGCTTTGGGGGGCATATTGGGGCCATCTTGGAGGAGATGGATCGAAGGAGGGGCCGTAGTCCCACCCCAGGCGGCCCAAACGTGGCCAAAGCCTTAGTCGAGTCAATGACATTGGCCTTCTCGCCGAGGCCGTTTTTGACGGGCCAACGACCCGCGCCCCCCCGCCCCCTCCAGGTCCAGGGGGGAGGGAAGGGGTAAAAACACCCTCCCCGCCCACAAGCCGTCTCGCTGACTCCCACCCGCCCTCCCAACACATAAGTAGCACCCGAACCGCAGCGTGTTCAGCGGTAGTCTTTGGAAGGACAGCTAATGTGAACCAAAACAGACCCCATGTGCGCAATGCCGGGGAGAAGTGCGCCAGGCGTGCCAGGCGCGCCACGCGCGCCAGGTGCGCCAGTCACCCTTCTGGCCGAAGCGTGCTGGGCACGCCTGGTGCGCCAGATGCGCCACGTGGTCCACGGGCGCTATGTGTGCCGCATGCTCCAGCCGCGCCAGGTGCGCCACTCTCGGGGACCGCGCAGAGTGTGCCAGGTGCGCCTGCGCACGTGGCAGTGCACATCGGGAAACGTGTCGGCCCCGACCACCCTTGTCGAAGACCAATGCGTAATCGCGGCGGGGTGGCCATCATAGCGCCTGGTGGGCTTGCACATAGCAGGCAACATGCCAGCACCCCCGCCGTCCCAATCAAAAACCAATGAACAGTCTCGCGAGGTGCCTGCGCATGATCGAGAGTTCGTTTCGAAGTATATTTATTTTGTAAGGTTATTCGACATTGTTGCTGGCCGTGCGCGCAGCAGCCAATATGCGGGCACCCCCGTCGTCCCTATCAAAAGAGCCATACAAAGTGCTCGCGCCCCCGCATCATGACCCAATATTTTGCCCCAAACTTGATTTTCCAATATTTTGACCCAATATTTTGCCCAATATTTTGCCCCAGTATTTTGAGAGGCATGGTTTGGGGGGGCCCTCATTGGTACTGGTTGGCTGCAGGTCGCCTGGGGGAGGGGGTGTTCATAAATAGGGAACAGTGATCAAGGCCCTCCCCGCCCGCAAGCCGTCTCGCTGACTCCCACCCGCCCTCCCAACACATAAGTAGCACCCGAGCCGCAGCGTTTTCAGCGGTAGTCTTTGGAAGGACAGCTAATGTGAACCAAAACAGACCCCATGTGCGCAATGCCGGGGAGAAGTGCGCCAGGCGTGCCAGGCGCGCCACGCGCGCCAGGTGCGCCAGTCACCCTTCTGGCCGAAGCGTGCTGGGCACGCCTGGTGCGCCAGATGCGCCACGTGGTCCATGTGCGCTATGTGTGCCGCATGCTCCAGCCGCGCCAGGTGCGCCACTCTCAGGGACCGCGCAGAGTGTGCCAGGTGCGCCTGCACACGTGGCAGTGCACATCGGGAAACGTGTCGGCCCCGACCACCCTTGTCGAAGACCAATGCGTAATCGCGGCGGGGTGGCCATCATAGCGTCTGGTGGGCTTGCACATAGCAGGCAACATGCCAGCACCCCCGCCGTCGCAGTCAAAAACCAATGCACAGTCTCGCGGGGTGCTCGCGCATGATCGATGTTTCGTCTCGAAGCGTATTCTGCATGGGTTTGACATTGTTGCTGGCCGTGCGCGCAGCAGCCAATATGCGGGCACCCCCGCCGACCCTATCAAAAGAGCCATACAAAGTGCTCGCGGCCCCCGCATCATGACCCAATATTTTGCCCCATTGTTTTTTGAGAGGGATGATTGGGGGGGCCCTCATTGGTACTGGTTGGCTGCCGGTGGCCTGGGGGAGGGAAACAATGATAAACCTTTTCCCGAAGGGGAAGAATTGGAGGTTGGAAGAGGAAGCCCGCTAAACCACTCACGCCCTAAAGGGCTGGTGGGATTTGCGCCAGGTGCGCCGACGGCTGCAGGGCAGATGGCAGGTCTGCGAACGCACCAGTGATCCCCTGAGCTGGCCAGCCACTAGCGTGCATGTCCTGTCACACGGTTCGATGAATATGGCGATGAGTTCCCGTTCGCATTTGCGGAATTTCACCGCTGCCGCATTTACGGGATTTCATTACTTCTTGCAAGTGAGTTGCCAGGGGCGTGCGGGTGGGGGGTGAGGGGATGGATAGCGTCGTCAATGCCACATGTGGCGGGCATGCGTTGAACTCTTGACAGTTATTTGCGTGCGGGCACTACGGGCCGTCCAGGCCTGCCAATCAATGCAAGTCTTCGCTGGTTAGCGACAGAAGCGTCGAGGCTCGGATTCAGCTAAGGGTGAGTCGTTACAGGCACAATGACCTCCCCAGCTGTGCCAAGCTTCATGTCCAGAGGTTTCATGCTGACCAGCTGGAGTCTGACGTTGGCCGGCTCCTGCGAGACCAACGCTTTTGTTGTCTTGTTCTTGCAGATCCATGTATTTGCTGCGTCGGCCTAGCGAACGCTCCTCATTCTCCTTCTACCGGTAAGTGGCACGGGCGTCTCAACTCGTCGTGCTCAATGGGGGGGCGTGGCAAGGACAGACCTGCATTGGAGGGTGTGGATAAGGAGAGCGGAGAAAGGGGGTCCGGGGAGCCACAGTCAGTGGAACATTGTCGCAGTAGACATTCAAGACACATGTGTATCACCCCACGGCGTGCACTCCAGCACTACATGCACACCGATTTGGGACGTTCCTTCGGTTCGAGCAGAATCCCAGGGCGTGCCGTCGCCGTCGCCGTCGTCGCCGCCGTCGCCGTTGCCGCCGTGGTCGGCGCCGCCGTCACCGTCCTCGCCGTCGCCGCCCTTGCCTTCTTCGGCGCCGTTGCGGTCGCCACCGCCACCGCCACCGACGCCGTCGTTGTCGTCGTCGTCGTCGTCGCCGCCAGCGTCGTCGACGGAGCCTTCGCTGGCCCCGTGGTCGTCGCCGATGCCGCCGTCGCCGCCGTCACCGTCGTCGTCGTCGTCGTCGCTGCTGGCATCGTCGTCGCCGCCTTCGACTGCACCATCGTCGGCGCCGATGTCGCTTCCGTCGCCGACGTCGCTGCCGTCGCCACCGCCGTCGTCGTTGTCGCAGCCGCCCTCGCCGTCGCCGTCGCCACGGTCGGGCCATAGTTTTCACTAGCACGAGAGGCTATTCGCGTATCCCCACCAGCTGGGCTGCCTGCTCAGCCCCACGCTGTGCCGTGCTCTGTTCGGGTGGCTCGTTTACCTCTGGCGCCTGGCGCGACAAGGTACAATTCGTTTGCCTTTCCCATGGTCTCGCCCCTTGAATGGTTGCACTTCAGCCGCTTGGCACACTTGCCACCTCTTGCAGCTCTGCCTTCAGCCCCCGGCGTCGCTCCTCGGCGTCCCTCGGCGGCAGTTTCGGCGGCCGTCAGTTCGCGCGCTTAGGTAATTAGGTCTGGCTCGTAGCCCGGGCTGACTTCGGACGCCGCCTGCGCTTCCGCGCAAGGCCGCGACGGAAAAATCACCAACGGAAAAATCCCCACTAGCCCACTCAGAAGCCCTGCCCATGTAAGCAGACGGGAAAAAGGGACGAAGAGACACATCTAGGGAAACAAAGCGAGCAAGGGGGTGGCTTTGGAAAGCCTCTTCGGGCCATCCCTGGGTGCTGCGTGGGTGCGTGGGGGCGAGGGGAAGAGGAGAAGGAGGGGGAGGAGGATGGGATGAGGACGAGGACTAGGATGGGGACGATGCGGACGAGGACTCATGGAACCATCTAGAGGTATTATTGCGGCTGCTGCTGCTGCTGCTGCTGCTGCTGCTGCTGCTGCTGCTGCTTTCTGGGAGTGTTGGGGGCCTCGTGTAACCCTCTTGGTAACCCTGGAAGGCTTCTTGGGATCATCCTGGATGCCATCGATTACAGGATGGGGGGGGGCCCAACTCAGCCCCCCCTGAGGAGCCGGCAAACCGCTTCATGGGGCTCTCTTGGAGCGCTCTTGGGCGCTCTTGGAGCGGTTTTCCGGGCCGTTTGGGACATTTTTGGAGCCATCTTGAGCCAGCTTGGGTTATCTGAGCCATCTTGGAGGTAATCTTGGGCTCTCTGAGGCCGTTCGGGGGTGTTTTAGGGGCCTCTCGGGTGCCTTTTGGGGCCCTCTTGGGACCCTGTTGGAGCCCTCTTTTGGGCTCTCTTGGGAGCCCTGGAGCGCATCGTGGGGCCATCTTCGAGGCGATCGATCAAAACAAAGAGGGTTCCGATCGAAGTCACCCCCTCGGGGGCCACGATCCTCGTGAGGGGTGTCAAAAGCTGGCCCTCCCAGGGGCCGACAAAGGACACTCCGTTCACCCGCGGCACCCCCCAAAAAAGTCTAGGGGAGGGGGTAGGGGGAGGGGTCAAGCTTCCCTCCCCGCCCGCAAGCCGTCTCGCTCACCCTCACCCGCCCTCCCAACACAATCGTAGCACCCGAGTGTGGCCCGCGCCTCAGCATATTCAGCAGTCGTCTTTGGATGGGCAGGTACTGGGGGCCAATCCGCCGCCGCCGCCGCCGCCGCTGCCCCCCGCCGCCGCCGCCGCCGCCGCCGCCGCCGCCGCCGCCGCCGCCGCCCCCGCCCCCGCCGCCGCCGCCGCCGCCGCCGCCGCCCCCCCTGCCAAATCGCCGCCACCGCTGCCACTGGCGCCGCTGCCGCCACCGCCACCGCCACCGCCGCCGCCGCCGCCGCCGCAGCTGCCGCCGCCGCCGCCGCCACCGCCCCGGCCGCCGCCGCCGCCGCCGCAGCCGCCGCAGCCGCCGCCGCCGCAGCCGCCGCAGCCGCCGCCGCCGCCAAGTGTATTCAGTATTGTTTGTTTGATAGGGACGGTGGGGGGAGGCCGCATCGGGTTGGCTGCGCATGCTCCGAGTTCGGAGGCAGAGTGTGTGTTTGCATGGTGTTTTACAAGGGATGGTGGGAGGGCCCTCATGGTTCCTGGTTGGCTACCAGTCGCCTGGGGGAGGGGGTGTTTATGAATACGGAACAGTGATAACCCGTCCCCGAAGGGGAAAGGGGCTTTTGGAAGAGGAACGAAGGAACATCGTTAGACCACCTACGCCCAGAGGGCTGATGGGACTACATACCCGTCCGTGCCAGGCGCGACACTTCGCCCACAAGGGTGCGGTTCGGTGGGTGGTGAGGGGAGGGATCGCGCCCTCAAAGTGCAGCCTGTGGTGGACACGCACCGAGTGTTTTGTGTGCTGTTTGAGTGCCTGCACTGAACGTCGTCCAGACCAGCTGACCTGGGCGCATGACGCTCGGACCATACATAGCACCGCCGGCTTACCGGGCAGATGCCAAGGTCCGAGTTTTCGCTGTGGGTGAGTCGTTACAGGCGCAAGGACGCCCATAGCCAGTCACGCATGCCAAGCCGACAGCCAAGACACGTTTCTCGCTGTGCGGCTGGGAGCTTGTTGTCGGCCAGCTCCCGCGAGACCAACGTTTTTTTGTTGTTGTCTCGGCGGCGTTGCATTTTCCTTCTAGCCTAAGCCAAGCCACATCGGCATTGGACGGGGTCGCGAACGGATTGGCTCCATCCACGGCTGCCGAGTCTCCATCCCATCTCAGCTGTCCATGTCTTTCGGGCCCGAAGCGGGCCTCTGGAGGTCGAGATCGTTGGGCAAAGCGACCGTCTTGACTTTTGGTGTGACGCCGGAGGTCCTGGGGATGGTCCCCCGGGAGGAGGAGCGACACCACCACCACCACCAGACCATCTCCAGCGAGGAGGTCGCCGATGCCTCCCCGAGCTCGATAACTCGGAGGTGCCTCGAGCGAGTTGGGGCGACCACACCACCAGGAGGGCTTTCCCTGGCTCCTCAAGTTCGTGGTGGGAATGACGACTGTCTGTGCTGCCACGGGGGGAAAAGTGCAGTCGACCCGCATAGTAAGGATGAGCGACTTTCCAAGGTTACTCTTGCATCCTTCGTCTTCGGCTTATCCTTGGCCGCTTTCGCTGGCCGCGCCCCGCCCGCAAAGTGTCGACCTGGCCCTCCAAGGCCCGTGCATCCTCATCGTGCGCCCTTATTGTGCGGTTTGGCTGTATGCGGCCTCCACTGACGGCCCTGCGTTTTCAGCTATATCCTGCCATCCGCGCCGTGGTGAGATAAGTGCGCTGGCCGCGCTGCCTGCGCCTCCCAGAAAAGGAATGGATGGGAGGATTGGGAGGAGGATCGGGGAAACGTACGACTCGAGTGCGCCAGAACTTGGGTTCGCCTCCGCTTTTTGACGAGCTTGGCTTGGATTTTGACAATCCAGGGTTCGTGGGATGTCTGCAGCGGAAATTCGCGGCAAATTTCAGAGTGGGTCTCGTCATTTCCTGATGGCCCCGTCAGGCCAACCCGAGTCCCCCGAACCCGAGTTTTACGTCTCCCCGAGAGGAGGAGAAGGAGGAGGAGGAATAGGAGGAGGAGGAAGAGGAGGAGGAGGAGGAGGAGCAGGAGGACGAGGAGGGGACGGAGGAAAACAATGCGGTGAGTGGAGGAGGGCAATGATCGAGGGTCGATGCTTTGAGATGTTTTCTGGCTGCAGCGAGCTCGGGCGCCCGAACCTGGGACTCGCTTTCTGGGCTGCGTGCGCGTCTCCTCCCCCCGTTCCTCCCACCCCCCTCCTCCTGTTCCCTCATGCACCCTCTTCGCCAGCCAGGCTGGCTCCTGAGGCTTGAGCTGGCGTGGCGGCCTGCGAGTGATGCTGTCCGTTTGCTTCGGCTCTCGGCGGGGTCGCTCATGCGGCTGCGCCGCGAGGTCGGTATAATTTAGAATCCTTCCCTTCGAGTCCTCCACCCTCCTTCTCCTACTCCCCCTTTCGTTTCCTGCCTCCCTTCCCTCCTCCATCCTCGCCTTCCCTCTGGCGGGCGGCCAGGCGACCCTGACAAGTTCTAGGCGACGCTCTCTCGCGAGGCGTTTCCTAATGCGCTGGACTTCCGGGACCCGAACCAAGCCTGGACAGGCCGGTGCGGAGGGGTTCTTCCTCCTCCGCCTCCTCCTTCTCCTCCTCTTCCTCCTCCTTCCTCGTACGCTCGTCTCCTTCTCCTCCTCCTCCTTCTCCTCCGCCTCTTCCTCCTCCTCCTCCTCCTCCTCCTCCCCTCGATTTTTTGTTCGGCATCAAATCAAGGGATCCTTGTATACCCTCGAATAGAGTCTTGAGGGTGCGCTCGAGTCGATTAGCGTCTGGTAATCAATGTGATGGCGTCGATCTAGCGTCCATTGGCGTCGATTTAGCGTCGACGAGCATCGTCCAGCGTCGATTCGCAAGAGCCAACAAGATAGATGGTATGGGAGACTCCCGAGAGTTGCCGCAGAAGTTGTTTTGTTTGTTGCGTTGTAGTCGCCGTCGCCGCCACGTCGCCGCCCCGTCATCGCCCATCGTATTGGCCTGTGCGTCGTTCTGGCGGCTATGTAGTCGCCGTCGCCGCCTCGTCGTCGCCCATCGTCTGGGCCTGTGCGTCGGTCTAGCGGCTATGTAGTCAGCGTCACCGCCCCATCGCCGCCTCGTCGCCTCCCTTCGTCTGGGCCAGCCTGTCGGCTACGTTGTCGCCATTGCCGCCCCGTCGCCGCCTCGCATTGATTCTCTTTCCTAAACCAGCCTTAGGACCTACCCCCCCCCCGGGTCAATGGTACACCTTTTCGTATTGCTGTTGCATGTGATTCTGCCACATCGTCCATCTGAGTCATGAACTCATACCATACCAGAGGCCAGCATCCCCCTGTCATCCTCAGCACACAAAAAATATGCGCGCGCATTCGTTTATCAAAAGTCATCAGTTGTCAAAAATCCCTTGCAACAGAAATGGGACGACGTGCACACGCGCGCGTCGTTGCGCGCGCATGCCGAACTCTTTCAACAATCCCAGGTTCTGTAAGGATTTCAAGATCGAGTGTCCCAACAACCTTGAGAGCACATGGTTTTGCAGCGCGGGTATTCAAAAGCAGGTTGCGCCCGCGCTCTTGCGAATCTGTACGTCTACCAGACGGGCTTCTCGCGCGCGCATGTCGAAATCGCTGGAAAGCCGTTGCGCGCGTGCTGTCGCAAGTACCCCTGGCAAAACAGGACGACGTGCACACGCGCGCGTCGCTGCGCACACGCGCCGAAATCTGACAAAAACCTTAGGTGTCGTAAGGATTTCAAACTCGAGTGCCCCGAAAACATAGAACACCCATGATGTTGCAACACCAGTTTTCAAAAAAGCCTGCGATCGCGGTCTTGTAGATTCTTAAGGATACCCTCGTTTCCTCAACATGTTCACAACATTCTGCCAAACGGGCCCCTCGCGCCGCATGCCGAGCTCATTCGAACGCCCTTGCGCGGGGATCGGGGCACGATCCGTGTCCACTAATACCACGCGGGCCAGTCGCGCGCGTCGGCCGCGCGCGCATGTCGAACTCCGCCAGAAACCCCCATCGCCGACGCGGGGACATTGTCACCGTTATCGGCGGGCGTGATCAAGATCGGCGTCGTCATTGGCATTGCAGTCGTCGTCGCCACCATCGTCACCATCATCGCTACTCTCATAATCGAGTCTACCTTTTCCGGCGTCTCCATGATACCGCGCCCGCCCAACTCACCGACTCGCACAGAAGTGCCCGCTTGGGAAGTGCACAGCGGTCAGCGCCACCGCGGCCGCGTCGGTCGCGCCAAACTAGGTGGCCGTTGTGCGCGTTAGCATGCGCGGGTTAGCGCGGCCGCAGAGATGCCCCTGCCAACGCCAAGCAGTCATCGCAATCGCTGCCGCATGGGTTTTGCAAATCAAGTTGCGGATGGGTGGGTGGGATGTTTGCAAGAGCATGGAATTTGTCAATTCGTTTGTAAAAATCAACTCTTTTCGAAAAGAAGAATAGACTCTACCCCCCCCCCGAGTTAAGGGTTACCCTTTTCGTATTGTTTTTTGAATATAATTCTGCCCCATCGACCATCCGAAATGTGAATTCATATTATCTCAGCCACGCCGGTATCACTCCCCCCCGCCATCCTCTGCAAAAAGTACTATGCGCGCACTCTCGTTTTTCACAAATCATAAGTTTTCAAGAATCCCTTGCAAACAATTGGACGAAGTGCACGCGCGCGTCGTCGCGCGCGCATGCCGAAGTTCTTCAAACATTCTCGGTTTCGGAAGGATTTCGCAATCGAGCTTCCAGAAAACATGCAAAAAACATATGGTTTCGCAACAGTGGTTGTCTAAAAAGCTCACTCGCGCGCTCGTGCGAAATCTTGAGAAGACCATAGGTTTTTCAAGGTTATCAAGAAAAATACTACCAAACGGGTTTCGCGCGCGCGCATGTCGAAGTCTTTCGAACGCCCTTGCGCGCGTGCTGTCGCGAGAATCCTCTGCACAAAACGGGACGAAGTGCAGACGCGCGCGTCGTCGCGCGCGCATGCCGGAGTCTTTCAAAACCTACGGTTTCGGAAGGATTTGTTTCAAAATCGTGTGTCCAAAAGACATACAAAAACACAAATTTTCGCAACACGGATTTTCAACAAAAGCGTGCGCCGCTCTTGCGTCGTCGTAATCGTCGTCGTCGCCGTCCTCCCTCCTCCCTCGTCGTCGTCGTCGTCGCCGTCGTCGTCCTCTGTCTTTCCTCGTCGTCGTCGTCGTCGTCGTTCTCTTTGGCGTCGTCGTCGCTTCCGTCGTCGCTGTCGCCGTGGTCGTCCCTCCTCCTCCCTCGTCGTCGTCGTCGTCGTCCGTCGTCGGCGTCCCGCCGTCGTCCCTACTATTTCGTCGCCGTCGTCTTCGTCGTCGTCGTCGTCTTCACTCCTCCCTCGTCGTTGTCGTCGTCGGCGTCGCCGTCCTCCCTCCTTCTTCGACGTTCGCGTCGTCGCCGTCCTCCCTCCTCCCTCGTCGTTGTCGTCGGCGTCGGCGTCGTCGTCCTCCCTCACTCGTCGTCGTCGTGTACGTTGGCGGACGTCGTCGTCGTCTTCGTCGTCGTCGTCGGCGGCGTCGTCGTCGTCGTCGGCGTCGTCGTCGTCGTCATCCTCGTCGTCGTCGTCGGCGTCATCGTCGTCGTCGTCGTCGTTGTCGTCGTCGTCGGCGTCGACGTCGTCGTTGTTGGAGTCGTCGTTGTCGAAGTCGTCGGAGTCGTCGTCGGTGTCGTCGTTGTCGTCGTCGGCGTCGTCGTCGTCGTCGTTGTCGCTGTCGTCGTCGGCGCCGGTGTCGTTGCCAAGTGCCTTTTGGTTCCTACCGTCACGGTCTGAAGTTGTGGGTTGGGAGGGTTGGATGTTTGCACGAGCAGTGGAGAGGACAGTCTAAAGACAGTCAAAGTGAATTGCACCGCATAAATTGCACCAAGTACACTGCACCGCATATATTTCACAACATAGGTCGCAAAGCATAGATTGCACCACGTAGATTGCACCGCACATATTGTACAACATATATCGATCGACGTATATTGCCTCCCACATAGATCGCACCGCATATAATGCGAATTGTAGATTGCCCGACATAAGCTGCACCACATGGATTGCACCACGTATACGATTGCGCAACATAGGCCGCACCACACATGTTGCCCAGCCGATATTGCACCACGTAGATTGCACAACAGGTATTCACGACATATATTGCACAATATGGATGGCACATCATGGATCGCACCACATATATTTCATCACATGTATTTCACTGCGCACATATATTGCTTCACATAAGGTGCACAACATAGAGTGCTAGAATGATTCGTTTGGGGTCCGCGCTGGCTATCACATGATTTTTACGTTTTTTGCCTCTGGGTCCGTTGGCCACCCCCGGGACCGTCAAGCAACGACTACAGGATGAAAGGCCAACCTGGGGAATGGGTCGAGATCCCCAGAGGCCCACGTCACGCACAAACGACGACGTCGGAGGACAGGTTTTTTCTTCACTCCCCCTGTTTCGTCCTTTTCGTAGCGTCCGTGCCTTTAAGAACCTTCCAGAACGCTCCTCATCCTCCTCCTTCTCCTCTGCCTCCCTGTTCATCCTGCTTTTCTTCCTCCTCTCTGTTCCTCCCGCCTCCCCAGCCCCCCATCCCTCATGCCTATTTCTTTGCGTTTCGCTTGTACGCCGTCTAGGATGACGAAGCCTCAAGTCCGATAGTTGCACGGATGGAGGCGGGCCGTTTTCAAAATGAGGCTCCCGCTCCTGCCGGTGGGGGGGATCTGAGGCAGAGGCCCGAGGCGATCCGGCCCAGCGCGATGCCATTCTTCGCTGGCGGGGGCTTCGACCGGAGGCCTCGCGAAATGGGGGGGCGATAAATGGGGTGGGGGCAGCGAGGGCTGCACAAAAGGGGTCGTTTAGGACCCCTTCGTGCCCAGAAGGGGCCCTTTGGGGTCTGAGAGGTGCACCTTTCTTCCCCCACCCCTTGCAGTCAACCCGCATAGCAAGCAAGGATGCGCGACTTTCCAAGGTTACCCTTGCATCCTCTCCCTTCGGCCCAACCTTGGCTGCTTTCGCTGGCCGCGCCCCGACCACATGGCCTTCCAAGGCCCCTGCATCCATGTTGTGCATCCTTACTTTGCGGGTCGACTGCATCGCCCCCCCACGAAGCGACGCCCAACTCCCTCCACTCGCCGGCGGGAGCTTCGACCGAAGACACGGGATGGACAATATGCAGGCCTTGAGCCGAGCATCGGGGGCATCGATAGGGGGGAACAGGCATAGGGGGCGTGAATCGGCCCCCAATCGCCTATCGATCGCCGCTGGGATGCATCCCCCCCGTACGCCAGTCCCCCCCCCCCTTCCGTTGCTCCTCAGGGCAGGGAGCACGACGGGCGCAGCGGGGGGGGGCGGGGGGGCTTCGGCCCCGAGAGCGAGGGGAGCCCCCTCGGCACGGCACCCGCCCGCGCCACCACTCCACCGGCCCGCCCGTGGGGCGCCCCGCGTGCGTCCTGCGCCCCCTCCCGGCGGCCCTCCCGGGCCGCGCGGTGCGGCTCCGCCCGTGGCGTGGGCCCTTTGGGAGGCCACGACCCGCCCCCTTGGTGGGGGGGGGGCTGGCCGCTCCACGCGGGGGTGGCGGAGGCCGCCGCTGTTGCAGGCCGAGCGGCGCTCAAAACACCACCAAGCCGCCTTCGGGGCCCGAGTCATGTGTTCCAATGTCTCTCAACTCGTTTCAGATGCTCTCAACTTCTTCCAACTAAGTGCCCAAGTTCTCTCAAGTCTCTCAGTCGGACCTGGCGGCGCGCCCATCTTTCGCTCCCCACTCCACACCTCCTCTCTGGCGCCACCCCCATTTAGAGCTGAGGGATTTGCGCCCCGGGCCGTCCCTGCTTCCTCGGCACGCCCACGTGGCCCGGAGCCGGCCTCCCCGGGGCCCAGGGCAGGGAGCAGCCCGGCCGTCGCGAGCTTGCTCGTGGCAGGCTGGGGGATCGGGGCCCTGCCCCTGGAGCCTGGGGTTCTCCAGGTCCCTCCGAGCTCGCGGCCACCCGCATCAGAGGAGGGCCAGTCGGCGCCCCATCCTCCATAGCCGTTTCCCTCCTCATCCCTCTGCCTTCCCTTCCCCGTTCTCTGGCCGCCGCTGCCTCGACTGGCCCTCCTTCGACATCCTGTGCCGGCCTCTCACCGGCGGCACGGCTCGGTGCTGGTGCTACGGGCGTCTCCCGCCACCTCCCCTGGCCAGGGGAGCGCCCGCCGACAGCAACATCCAGGACAAGGTCAGGGAGGGGGACAAGGGGGAGGACGAGGAAAATCGTGAAGGCCTTGCGGCCGATGCCGCCGACCCAGAAGGACGACGACCACGACCACGACCACGACCATGACCACGACCACGACGACCACGACGAAACCAACGAAACCGACAACGGCGATCTGATGACCCTGTCACAGGCTCCGGACATGGGGCGGCGGCGGGGGGAGGAGGGAGGAGGGAGGAGAGAGGAGGAGGAGGAGGAGGAGGAGGAAAAGGAGGAGGAGGAAAAGGAGGAAAAGGAGGACGAGGAAGAGGAGGATGATGAGGAGGTGGAGGAGGAGGCGGAAGCGGAGGCGGAAAAGGAGGAGGATGCGGAAGAGGAGGAGGAGAAGGAAAAGAAGGAGGAGGAGGAGGACGAGGAGGTAGAGGAGGAGGAGGAGGAAGAGGAGGAGGAGGAGGAGGAGGAGGAGGAGACGTCGAGAAGAAAGCCGAAGCTACCAAGCACTTTGGAAGCAACGAGACTGTGAAGATAGGAAGTGCCGGCGACATCATCAGCCAGTACAACAAGAGCACGGACTTGGCTCAACCCGAGATAAAGAGAAGTAAACATAATTTCGCCAGCATCATTGAGCTTACCGAGTTGCTGATTGCTGCCGAACCAAGACGGGCGCCAGGACCTGACGCCATCACCGACGACTTGGCCAAGATCGTTCCACAAGAAATGGCCAGGCACTGCACTCCATCATCACGAAGGCGGCATTTTACTGCAGGGAAGGCGTAACCCACAAGGGATAGAGGATGGCGTACATATGGAAGGGCAAGGGCAACGATGAGAAACTAATGAATCAGAGGTCAATCATGCTTGCCAACACCGTCATCAAGCACCACTACATATACATATGACAGCGCATGAAAGCGCTCATCCCCAACATACATGTCAGCACGCAGTCAGGTGGGCGGACACACTACATCACTGACTCCATTCACATGACATTGCGCTTGCTATATGAGGCAGCGCACAGAAGAACCAATAACTTAGTATTAATCACGATTGACTTGAAGGCCGCGGTCCACAATGTTATCAATGGGTTGAAAAAAAAAACGACCTAGCACACAGCCAGCAGGACATTGACGACCTCCTCGAGAACATCGAGATCCTAGAGGCGATGCACCCTGCGATCAACGAGCTCATGACCAACAACAGCATCTTCAGTTATTGCCACACCGACAATGTACACATTGCTACGGTGCTCGCAGAGGCTCACAGGGGAACATGGTTTTACTTAGACACCAGAGCGGGGTTTGCACAACCTAGGCTGGAACACTAGACCTGGTGCCCCGACGGCGGATTTCACTTCCAATGTTTTAGTGGCCGAAGTGATTCGAAGCTACCACACACGTGCACAACAAGACGGAGTTGACGTGCCCATACCAAGACAAGGGCGAACCATGCAAGAAGACGAATCGGACAGGACGCTCACCTCGACATGACGGGCGACCACGATGAGCTCGACGAGGTCGTCAGCACCATGTGGAAGCATCTAATCACAACGACATTCAACAAAGGGCTTCCCGTCAATACGAGAAAGTCAAATTTCATGAAGTACGCCAGCGCTCCGATGGGCAAAGGACAAGCGCGACAGCATACAGCCACCAAGGAGAGTTGCTGCACCGGCGGAATGGAGGTTGCAATCACCAGATATACTAAGCTACTTGGTGCCATGTTCAACGACGGGAACGACATGTCACAAGAGGTGGCTAGCATAATCCCATCAATGAAGGAAGCTACTGGGCGGATTCGCAGCGCGTTGTTTCGGAGGGGGGCGCATTGCAGCAAAGGCGAATATTCGCTACCTCGAAGCATTTGCCTGCTCCAAGTTGTTCTTCAACTGTGCCATATGGGTCGTCACCAAGAAGGGGGACCGCAATAGACTCAACGCGGCATGCACCGCTGCAGCGCGGCAGGTTCTGAACATCAGCCACAACGAGACCAAGGAGGAGGCAATCACCAGCAGCGATATCATTATCACGGCGGCAATGCCGACTCTTGACGCCCGGTTAAGAATACAACGGCGACGACAGATATTCAGATTACTTGCAGGATGCCCTGGCGAGCGACAAGCGCTGTTTGACGACGACATCCACAGCGGCAGTCGATGGGCGGGGCAAATTACGGCAGACATCAAGCACAACCAGCAGTTTCTGGATGACAGCCACAAGGCCAAGGAGACCTCCAGCGCGGCACAATGGATCATGGCAGCACGAAGCGACCCGAAGCACTCAAACGTGCAATAATTGCTGCTATAAAGAAGGAGATGGCGCGGTACTTCGATGACGACAGAACGGCGGAGTGGCGAGCTCAGATCGCGGAGATATGCGATAACGCAAACATACCACCGCCACCGCGTCCGCGCGAAGACGACAACACCAAGGGCGGCAGTTTCATGTGTTACTATTACGGGGCAATTCTTGCGAGCCGGGCTGCGCATTCCAAGCGCGTCATTGCCAACCGTGAGATAGACGCGGACATTATCCTGTTCATCACGGGATGCGCGCGCCCAACATTCCTGACGGAATTCCACGCGCCCAACAGATTATTCAAACATGTTAAGGCATCAAGGCGATGTTGATTTTCTTGGAACCATTCAGGCATGCGACCAACGGACAACGAGCTGGTGGCAACAAGACCGGCATTGAAACAATACGAAGGCGCAACCGACACAATGGGCTACCAGAGGACTGCGCCGAAGTACCAGTATCGCTGCTGGTGGACCCAGCAATAGGCCCGATACTACATGACGATGTTGGCGCTGCGGTCATTGTTCCCGCGCTCGTACCAGAAGGAGAAGACGACTTGCAGATAAAAGGAACCAGCGAGGACGCGACAACCATGCACGATGTGGAAGACGGTGCGTCGGCGCAAGACTTTCTCAACCGACGCGCGAGGACGAACGCGCGCATCAGACTTCTGGTAGCTAGCCAGGCATCAACTTTGGACGGGACGGTTGACATGATACACGCGGCCAGCAATCGCGCACGAAAGAGCATCGAGGTGTATGCCGCCAACGCCGTGAAGGAGGACACAAGCATCATTGAGGATACGGCGACACATTCGACGGCAAGAGGTGGCCTTTTGTTCGATCGAATGCAGCACCGACCACGACGACATGCAGGTGCGCAATCGCAGCCACCCATGTGGGCATCGCCACTTGCAACAGGCGGCTGGACAACGGGCGATGGCGAACAACAGCGCTACCAGGATGGCTACGCTTATGTTATACGAGCGCTTGGCTGCAGCTGCAACATGCGTAATGTACCCGAAGAACTCGAGCATCGGGAACATACCAGAATACCAGCACATTGTCAAGAATGAGGCAGCATCCAGAAGAACCGACAGCGCAATCATCCACAGCATCCAGGAGCACGACGTGGAAGGAAGTATAGAAAGTGATGTTGAGCACACAATTCTAAGACACGGGGGCGCATTTATGAAGGCGAGAAATTGGCACTACTGCGAACGCACCGTGGCCATCACCTGTGATGGAGATCAAGAACGGTACAGAGGGCCAATTTTCATCGAGCCAATCGACGGCAACATGGCACACAATGGGCCCCCCAGGCTGACCCCGCAGCGCACGGCGCCGAAGGGCGGGGGAGGCCTTGCTGCAACCGCCAGGTGCCAGGATGCAGCAAGAACGCAAGTCCCAGCGGGAAGCACGCAGACTGTCGTTTCCTGAGGTGTTGTCTGGGACACTGCTGGGAGCCTGCAATCCCTTCGGAGGATAGACAGGGGACGGGCGTGGACCGTCGCACCCCGTGGAGCCGAAGCATCTCCTCTCGGAGCCAGCATCCCCTTCGGAGGGCTGACTGGGGCTGAGGTGAGCGCTTTGCTTCCATCGAACAAGGGCTGCGTGTGGACCGCTGGGCTCACGTCGCCGCGTTTTGCTGAAGTGCAGAGCGACTGGGGCGACGTGTTCCCAGCGAACTACCTCACCATGGAGGCCTCCTTAGGCCCCCTTTGGCGGTGAGCGCGCCTGTTTCCTGTGGGGGGTGACGGCGGCCGCCGAGCGGGGGAGAGACGATGGACTATGACAGGGGGCCCGTCGGAGCGCGTGGCCTCGGCCATCGGAGGCCTTCGTCTCCCTCCTTCTTTTACATTGGCCCAGGAGGCTTCCTCTTCTCTTCCTCCTTGGCCTGACCTCGGCATCCTGGCCCGTCGGCCCCCGTTCGCGCCGTGCCCTCCTACCCCTCCTCTTCAAGGGCCCTGAAAGCTTCCTGGTCTCCTCTCCTTGGGGCCTGGCCTAGGTTCCCTGGCCCGTCGGCCTCGTGCGCGCTGTGCGTTCGCTCGCTCGCCTCGCGTGCTAGATTCGTTCGGTACGCTCGTCGTCGCGTGCGCGGCGCACGTCCGAGCACGCATTCGTGGTGCCCGCGCGCGGCGGCGCGGGCGCCGCGGGGCTACGCAGACAAACCGCGCGTGGCCCGCAGCGTCAGAAGGAGGAGGGAGAGAAGGAGGAGGAGGAGGAGGAGGAAGAAGAGGAGGAGGAGGAGGAGGAGGCGGAGGAGGAAAAGGAGGAGGAAAAGGAGGAGGAGGAGGAGGAGGGGAAGGAGGAGGAGGAGGAAAAGGAGGAGGAACAGGAGGAGGAGGAGGAGAAGGAGGAGGAGGAGGAGAGCCATTTGTCTCCTCGCGGGCGGGCTTGGGCTGGGACCGAGGGCTGGGGCTGGAGCCAAGGCCCGGGGCCGAGGCCGAAGCCACTGCACGTCCAGGGACTACGGCCGGGGCTGGACCCGGGGCCGTAGCCGCGGCCGAGGCAGAGGGAGGGGTCCTGAGCCCCACTGCTTGTCGACGTCCTCCTTCTCCACGGGGAGGCCGCCCGGGGCCGGGGTCACGACCCCCGGGCCCCCCCTCCTCCCGGGGACGAGATAAGGAAGGTCCTTTTGTGGCCAGATGGGCTTTTCTGCGGCCCGGTGGGTTTTAGTATGGCCAAGGGTTCTCCGGAGAATACGGATCTTCGGGAACGGTGAAGC